AGACACTGCATGACTGAAGTGTCATTTCTTACAACCACCTGGAGGAAAAGACAGGCAGAACCGGACAACAGCTCAGTTGCTCACCTCTACAGGGTGATGCATCCATCATATTTTATTTCAGGGTTTAAGGTGTATCATCACAACTTAATTTTCTACCTGACTTTCGTGCCATTCAAATTTCATCTTAAAGGCAGCCTGACACAGTTTAGCTTCAATCAAAGCAGAGATCCAACTGCCTTTCACCACACAGATGGTGAATGGATGTTGCTTATGGAGCAAACCAAGCTGTCTGAGAGCCATGGCCTGTGCTTATTCACAAGTGAGTCCCAGGGAGACAGTGGGAAGGGGAAAAAAAGAAAATGCATGCACTACATTTTTCAAATTAGACTGCTGAAGAAGGTAATTAGTCCTGAGTAGAGACTTCCCCTATTGTCTAGCAATCCATCATTAGCACATTCAGTCTTGTTTGTATGAATCTAGTGGAGAAACTGTTTTTTTTCTTACACTGTTATGAAGTTAAATCTACCCATCTTAGATGAAAACTGGCACGGACTTGACACAGCAATTGAATCAGCAGCATGGTCCTGTTTCTTCAATTTAACTAGGGTATCTTGTCTCCAACTTTTTTTGAGCAAAGCAAAGAAGTCACAGAACATGGCAGAACCCTGACAGGATGGCACTGGAGGACTCTGACACTTCGTGTTTTGCAAGTGATATTTTGCAACATTGCTAGTGTGTTTCCAACTAGACCAGAAATTGCCTGAGAAACGAACTGGTGCTTGGGGCTCTCCCCCCTTGCTCACCTTATGAAGCGCTGGGGTGGAGCTGACAGGTTATGCTACCCTCCTGAAAAAGAGCCAGCTGAGTACCTCTCAAGGTCAGAGAAGGAACTGACTCCCATAACTCTTACCCGAGAGCTAGTTATTAAAAATGGAAGGGGACGGGTACTCTTATAACATTATTTCACTACCTTTATTTTTAATGAAAGAACTGACTCTTGGGTTTTTTTTTTTCCCAAAAGGAAAATCTTAAGAGATAGCATGGGTTGAATCCATAACAACTGTAAGAAATACAGACACCCTACCACTACAAATAAAATTTTGTACTGCCTTACCTAACCCTTTCATTTTTTATGTGTTATGTTCCTCATGCGCAGCATTATTTTGTCAGTAAAAACTTAGTTGCTACTGTCAATTACAGGGATCAAAATAGAAGAGAAAGATGGAATAAAAAGTTCCTTATTTTATCACAATGTTTTCATGCTCCTTAGAAATGTCTTTTGAAACTAAAATCAGTAAAAAAAAGCATGTTCCTTCCGAGTCTTTATTTCAAATGATAATGTAATATTCCCTAAAACAGCAGGAGTGGATTTTTATTAAAATTAAAGGAAAGAGATTTTTGATGGGCAACTTCAAAATTCTGTAAGTTAGATTTAACTGTAAATCGGCAAAAAAGGGGAATACTCTGGACTGAAGGCTACTGGATGGATGGAGTGATGTAATTTTGACTCACAGAGTCTGAAGTATACTGAAGTTGCATTACTTGTATATATTACACAACTTGTTTCTATGTATAGTAGGTATTATACTGCACTGTGTTGCACTGAGAAATTATTGAAACTACAAAAGCAGCATCTCAAGACTTAGGAAATGGCAAGAAGTAAGGTAAGCCATGTGACTAATTCAGCTTCCTTGTGAATATGAATCAAAAATGGGCTCAAATTACACAATCACATACGATTTTTCTGGGAAAGCCTTTCTCATTCTGTTAACCGAATGAATAGTATGAGATTCGTTTGGAGGCTTATTTTACCTTGGCGCTCCACACAGTACCCCATCTTTTATTTCCCAAATAATATTCACACCTTATTCTGAAGACAAAGTATTAATTTCCTTAAGAGGGTTTGATGAGTTTTTTAAACCTTAATAAAGCAACATGTGAAAATTTGCTTCAAGTTTATATTCACAACATTTCAATAAAATGAGCGGGATTTATTATTTCTCTTTTGCACCTGATAGATTATGTGTCCTCTAATTTGTGGTGGTCTACTTAAAGAAATGAATTCCTGATTTTTTTTTTCTAGAGAACTTTCATTTTGCAGCATTTTCCCTATTCAAATCAGAATGTCCACAACCTTTAGTGAAAACTGCGAATGCCCAGTACTTTTTTCAGGGTAAGCTCTGGGTTTAAACTCAAGCCTGCACAAAATGCAGAGCACATCCTTCATACATATTACTTATCTTCTGTGACTTATATTACACAGAAGTCAGGTACAGTCAGGGACAGAGTTGAGTTCTCTGGCTATCACACTACAGGCTGAGGGACACCCTTACTTGATCTTCCTTCTGTCTTCCTCACTGTGCAGAGTACAATTGATGCTGCAAAAGAAGTAAGGATTATAAATACAACACCCTCTCTGAAAAGACCTTAGTTGACTAGGAGACCATTGTATATCCTGTGCACTGAATCAGGCAGGGAAGTGGTGGTAAACCAGTTATGTCACCGTTTATCATGATGTGCCTTGATATATCAGTTACACAGGCAACTTTAATTCTGAAATGTCCTAAAAAACCCCCAGATAATAGAAGATATGGAGCTGTACCGACACTCATGGTTCTGCCTTACAAAACCTGCATTACAGCATCACCTTAAGCCCCGAAATCTATAGTTCGTCAACAGAGTTAAACTTTTCAACTGCCATATCAGACCTTTGACTGTGGAGCAAAGACAGTAATTTCTAAAGAGAGCAACAAAATGTTGACATCCTCAACACTAGAAGAACTTAAGTTACACATTTTGTGCCTGCTCATTCTATTTAGTAACAGCAAAAGGACATGGATGCTTTGGAAGACCAAGGTATAATCATTGACTGGAGGAACAGGCTTTTGTAGTCATAGGGCTTTCTGCCCTCGCCCTTTTCTGATCTTTGTCCTCATGTGTTCCTCAGCGACCAACTCTGACCTCCACCTTGCTGGAGCTGCAAAGCCCAGCTTCAAACTTGTGTTCCAGGATGTTGCTTCCCTCCTCCCCTGGCCAGGCTCAAAGAGCAGCCACACCATGACCTACTGACAGCTTCCTTAATCAACTTCTGTCCAGGGAGGTTCAGCGCCTCTCGATGAATGGAAAAACAGTTACAGGGAAAGTTTCACTTAGGCACTGCTGACTGAGGTTAGAACCAAGATTGCTTGGAGCAGAGCAGAGCTACAGAAAATATATATGTCAGACTTGAGCACAATAGGTCCTAGAGAAACCTTATTTTAATGTGGTAATATTTGGACAAACTTTCATAGGCAGTGCAGCAGGCATATCTAAGGATGCAAAAGGTAACATGTCTGCCAAATTTCAAGTTCCAAAGTATGAAAGAACTAAAGCTTTCTAGCCAAACTGTTTAGAGAATATCAGAGAAAAAAAAAAAAAACGCTTTTATTTTTATGATCTCCTCCTGAGAAATAGCCGAACAACTTTCATTTAAGTTTCCTAGAAGAATTCAGGCTGGAGCAGAATAGCACAGAAGATGTTAGCTGGAATAGCAAAGGTCTGGCAAAACAATAAGGTACTCGAAGCAGGCTCTTGTAAGATACCTGTGCTTCACCAAGTAATGTAGGCATTTTCAGTGCAGGCAGTTGACTAAAAACTTACCAATTCTATATGCAACATCTTCCATTTTCAATTTTTGTTTGATTTTGTTGGCACTTGTCTTGAATGTTTCATCACCACGTAATTTTCCTACTGATCACTCTAAACTGGGTCTTACAACACTTCAAAATCAAGTGTACCATGCTGCTGGACTCTGAAACTGGTAGAGAGAATCTAGAAAACATGCACAAGTCATAGAGACAACTGCCTCCTCAGCAAGTATCAGATGACTAAAGGGTTAGGAATCAACACAACCTAATCATTTTAGCAGGTTGTTAATTTCTAAATATAAACCCTGCAATTTGAATATAAACATTATTTGCAATCTACTTGCTGGTGATTCTGAATTGATATATTCCCCTGACGGGTTCATTCTGCAGTTTTCATTGGAATCAGCACTTTAACAGAAACCAGTACCTCAGTGAAATCTTCCTGCAGCTTTCAATTCAACCTCTCCAACCACCAAGTATACCAGATATTATACTTACTGTCAATGTAAAAATTCTGACGCATCAAAACCAGATTACAAGAACAGAATAAAAAAAAGGGCATTTAACATGCTGTAGAGCTGATGTGCTTTCCTCCACATTAATTTATTTAAAAGAATTGTTAGACATCCTCTGATGCTTCCGATGTGCTACACATTATACGTTCCCTTTACCTTTGGATCTCAGACCACACCATCCAGTAGTCTGTCAGTCATGAGTGGTTAATGTCATACTTGTTCCAAATAAAATTAGAACCACAGTTCTAACATAATGCAGTAAGCATTAATGGAGTTCAGGTTTCCTGCATCAATTTAACTGTAACTCTATAATGTGTGGAAAAAAGGACGATGCTCACATGGATGCAGATTTGAACCTTTCTGAACTCTGCAACAATTCAGATCCAGGATTCCAGTCAAGCTTTTTTAGTACATCAAGTTTAACCAATTAGCACCCCACTTTCCCCCTGCCCCAGAAACTCACAAATGAGAACGTAAGGTGAAGGCCATGACAGTTTATTTTGGAAAACTGTACCTGTCTGATAATATTTAATGTATACATATCACAGCTTAATTTCCTCCTGGACATGTACATGTCGTTAATACTATAACGTCCTAGAATACTTTAAGTGGACCAAGATCAATTTCTGAACAGATCTTAATACCTTCATGTAGAATTAATTTGATTGTAGTCTGATTACTGCAAAAACATTTAATAAAACAGTATCTGGCTTAAGCAAACACAAGCCATGGAACTCAGCTCAAACCTAGCTCATCACTATCTCATATAATTAAATAATGTATGGGAAGCTGGATTACTGCTGGGAAGAGCTACTAGGGGAAGTGGTGAGTTTTGAATGTAGAACAAGACACCATGAGGAAGATAATGAGCAAGTCAGCCCTATGACTATGGTCCTTATTTTATGGTCAACCTTGTGGTTTGCAGCACTCTTTTAATAGCCTGGAAATGGAGTCTTTCCTCACCAGTTGTCCCTTCTTTTACTAATACTGTTTTTTTCCTCTTCATTATTCTGTATTTTACTTCTTTGGGTACATACTAGAAGTACTGCCAAACACAACTTGCGCAAAACAGCAATCTCCAAGCATTTGGGGGTGAATATTAAAACCAAAGGTATATTCTTACATTTATTCCTCTAAAACAGAGGTGTGGGGTTAAGCTACAGAAACTCACATGATCGAGAGAAAGAAGTGAACATTTCTGCTGACAGGTGAGGAATGATTTGTACCTAAATGTAACTGTTGCTTAATGTCCTTTTCCAGGCTTTCATTTGTTTAAGCTATCTTTGATTAATTTAATTAAAAACAAAAAAGTAAACATTTTGCTTCCTTGGGAGGTTTTGTTATTTTTGTTTAGGAAAGAAAATAAAAAAAGAAAAGAAAATAAAAAGAAATAAAATCCCTCTTTCATACTGACCTATAAGAAGGAAATCAATAGGTAAGAAACACATACTTCAGACTTAATTCAAGGGAAATAAGCCAGAAAAATCTTTAAAAGATAGTGTTTATGTATATATAAATGCACCCTGCTTGTCAAAAATATTTACACAAAAATTAAGACAACTGTTAATTCTTGAGTGTTACAAACATAAAAATGCCACCTGTTTTCCAAGTCAGTTCAGCCAAGACTTATTTTAGATCATTTCTATTACTGAACATCCCTGAAAATTTTCTAACTTAGTAAACTAATGAATCACAGTGGAGTTTCAATTCAGACAACTGGCAATGCAGATGCAAGTCTGAAATTAAACTGAATCAGAAACAACAACAAACAGATAATTTCAAACTTAAGAAAAGTTCTAGCCAAATAGCTTGCATTCATATCCCCTTGATAAACATAAATTTTATTAGGCTAGCTCTTCAAATTTCCACTCACAGTCATGCTGTACACTAAAAAAATCACCTCACTGTATTATTCATTTCGGAAAGGAAATTAAGTGGTGTATTTTCGTATATGTGCTTAACATCCTAGTACATGTAACAAGTAGTCTCCATTTTCAGGGAAAGTGTGAATAGGTTTAAGTTCTCCTTTTTGAGCCAACATTTGTCATAAGACAGTACTTGCTGTGCAAACTGGATGGCAGTTGACTTTTTTCCAGTCAGTGTGAGGTTTCATAATCAGTTCCTGTCACAGGCATCAACCCTTCATTCATTCAATCATAAAAATGTGACTTACTAGAAAAGGAAAAATAGATTCTAAAGGCACAGAATCACATAGCTGCTCTAGTAGGAGTCTGTAAACAGAGAATAGTTTGAATTAGGAAATCCAAATCTAGGAAAGTAAAAAGGCATCTGAAGCAGGCTTTTATCCAGCCAACTTCCTTAAAGACCCAAAGGGTTTTGAGGTCTACAAAGTATGCACTAAAATACCATATTTCAAAAAGCAATAAGGCAAATAGTATACTCATTATTTCAAAAAAGTTACAATGGTAGTGTAGGCATACACAGTATAACTTAGTTACAATTTGTGGTACTGTTTCTACTACATAGCCCTATAACTGTTTCCTTTCTACATAATCGGAGATTAAACTGGGGTTCCAGGTGAACACAAAACCATCCCTGTACCACCGTCTACCACTGGCAACAGTTCTTCAACAGCAGCAGCAGTATTTGCTCTGCCACCTGGGTCATGTTCATGCTGAGAGAAGTAGACAAATCAAAGTTCAGAGATTAAACACTGTCATACTTGTAAAGAGCTTCTTCTAGCTTTTGTGTCACTTTTTGAAAAAAGAGTATTTGCTGTTGTAAGAAATGCTGCATCTGTGATTTAAAGTCCCTCACACGAATTTTGTGGAAATGATTAATTTCTGCTAGGGTTGCAAAAGAAATAATGTTACAGCGTTCTTGAATGCCCTCAGCTTTTTGGAGCTCCATCTTTCCCTCTTCCACATGCCGCTTACTCTCCTTTACTTTGGTAAGGGCTCCTGTGTAAAGAACAAAACAAAATAATTGTGAGGACAAGGTAGACTTGACTACCATACTTTAACAAGTGGTTTAATAACACCAAGGATTTGTATTACACTCATTCTAAATATATTTATATGTCTGCATATATATATATATATATATATATATATGATAATGAAAAGGAATAGCATAAAAGCTTTTTCATATTAAAAAGTCACAGAACAGTGAATCTTGTTTAAAAAAATCCACACTTTTTTAAGGCTCTAGCTTGCAAATGTTAGTAAAACATGTATTTTGCAATCTTAAATATCAGATGGTATCCTTCGGAGAATAACTGATAAATACACTGGTAGTGAGAAAAAAATAGAGCACTAGAAAACTAGTCAGATCAATTTAAGCCTACTAAAACACCAGAAAAATAACTTCATTATTGGACTTCGTTTGGAGAAGTTGGACTTTGTGAAACATCACTTTTCCCAATCTTTGTGAAACACCAAAAGGAGATCTGAATCGTGACATATACCATTCTGCTTTTACACTACAGATACCCCAAATTAAGTGAGTACGAGAGAATCTAAAAATTTATTTCATAGTCACAGACATCCAGGTAGACCTAACACAGTCTTGTAAGAGATAGAAGAAAAACAGAACAAAAGAACCGACAGTTCTCCTTTTACAAATAGACAAACTTACAAAAAGACCCATATTATTAATCTACCAAGATATGTTTTAAGACATTCATTTTCTTGGACTCAATTTCCCGTAGAGCAACTTCTTTGCCTTAAATATTACATGCATATTTTATTCACATAACTAAAACCAATCAGAACAATACAGCTTTAATGTTCTCACAAGATGTTAGCGATAGGACATTTTTCACACCCTTTATGATCATGCTTAAGTTACTCGTTCCTTCAACTAAATTCTAAAATTTTTTCTTTCAAATTACACTTCTTAGCATACACATGACTACAGTTCACTGACAGGACTCCCTTTACATTTCCTTTAAGAAATGCTCTTCTGTACTCCCTACAGTGACATTAGCTAACAAGCTAACAGAGAAACCTCTCTGCCTATATATTCTGGGAGGACAACCTCCACTCTGTCTGCTGGGGGACCAAGTTTGTCTTCTTGTCAGCCTGAATCCATGCATGTAGTAAACACCTTTAGTAAAAATGCAGTTCATCAGCAGTAATACTATCTTTCACCCTTTCCTTCCTGTGCCCGTTTAACAAGCCATTTTGAATGTGCCTCCCCACACTGCCCTGACACACCTCTGCAATTCAGATCTGGAGCATGACTTCGTGCATGGATATGTCTGGGACTGCTGCATGCATGGGTTGGGAGGCAACTGGGGAGCATGGCTACTGCTCACTCAATCTTGTGTGATGCGCTTCTCACATTCTCCCGCCTGCTGCAGCTCACTCCCTGCCCATCTCCAACCCTGCACCAGGCAGTCAGGTGGAATGGAGGGTCAAGGTACACTCTTCCTAGAAGTAAGTTAAAATACCAGATGATTTGGCACACTTAGGGAAAAAGAGTTTGTTGCATTTTTGAAATGAAACGGGGGTTGTGTCTTGCATTATAAACAAAATCAAGAGTTCTTAAGATCAGAGAAGCATGCGTGACTGTATTCAACTTCTAAGAACAACTTGTTAACTGTTGCAGGGGGTGTTTTTAGATGCAAACGCTCAGAAACTTCCTCTCTTATCAGCACTTCTTTGCTCTTAAAATCACATTTTTCTGCTTAATTTGCATTTACACTGTACTGTACATGGCTACTCCTGTCTGTAGCCCTGGTATGAACTCTCAGTCATGAGCATAAGAAACTCCCCTACGGTGTAATATACTTTCAGAATGACCATACAAAAGATCTTCCTTTTCTTTTTTAAACTGTGTCGGGGGGTTGTTAACAAGGCAAGTATAGACCACAGGCTGCATGACCGAGGCTGATATAGTCAAATAGCAGAGGCCACGCTCTGAACCTGTCACATCAAAGAGCTGCCCGAAGTAAGGGCAGTGGCTCTGCCCAGGGGCTGCGAGGTGGCAGTGGGGTTCCACACCTTCCTGTCCCCCATGGCATGCCAGCATGGTGGTGGCTAAAAGCTTGGCACTGGCTGTTTCAGCTGACTGACCTCACCATCACCACCCTGGCCCAAAAAACCACTACTGAAAAACCCTTTCTGCATGCAGTGGTGCCAGCAGTGTGAGTGTGCCAGATCTGCATTTTCTTCTCTAAGGAGTGAGAAATCTGTGAGGTAGGGCATGATCTGAAAAATATTTAATCCTCTCTTCTGCAAAAAGGATGCCTCTTTCAACAAACAAAACCAGGCTTAGCAAAAATTTTCTCTGTGTTCTGTGGGCATGGCAGGAATCCATGCATGGCTGTGAAAAACTGAAATTTGGGACTTACTGGAAGCCAGATGGAGCTGGTTAAATAAACATTACAACTCCCCAGTTGTGATGTTGGAAACAGCTTTAGATGTTATTTCTAGAATGACCAAACTGGAAGAAAAATACTGAAATTTACAGCAATCAGCAGCTGAAAGCATAACTAAATTCTGGAGCATGTATAATCTTCAAATTATCTTACATCAATAAAAAAACACAAATTACCAAACACTAAAGCTCTTCAGGGTAGACACACTATGCATTATACATTATTTTGCCATTACAAAAATAATAATTGCAATAAGGAAAAGGACTCTAAGGGGAAAATTTGCAACCATTAACACTGCTCTCTTAATGCATATGTATTCATATTGGTCCTGTAGTGGAATTTTCTTTAAACCTGAACAGTCGACAACTGGATGCTGACAATGAATGACAAAAGCTTATATATGCCCAAGTATAAACTTGCTTGTTTTTTTTAAGTGTCTTCAAATGAACTGTTGAATTATTAGTAAAACAATCTTAAAATAACTTAAGAGGGGAAAGAATCTTATTTTAGGACAATCAAAGAACCTTTCCCAAACACAAAGAAAAAGCCCATGTGCTTTAAGAAGCAAATGATCATTTGGTGTAAAATTTAATTTTTAATTTTTTCACCATGTACCAAAATTTGCAAGACTTTGGTAAATCTTAGAAAAAGGTGTTGTTATTTTGCATGACTTTGCAAGAAGCTCTACTAATCATAACATACCATATTTCATCCCATTTTTTTTTCCCAAAAGCTTCTCTGTAGCCTACATCCTTTGTGTTTTAATCTGCATGAGCAAAATTCTGAGCCAGAGCAGATATTCATTGATGTCAAGAGTGCAACGATCCATGTGGGTTTCTAATGGTGAAGCGAGGGAGGACAGGGTGAGGGAATTGGGAAGCAGGGAGCAGCCCCTTGCATGCATCCCTGCTTGAAAACAAGGACCTTGCTCAGAGATGCCCGAGTAGTGGATGGTCCCATTGTAATGCCTCCCAGCCTGCAACTCCTGACCTGTTTCACCCGAGGCTGCACATCATGGACTTCCCCACCTCTGTCCTTACGAATCTATTCATCGCCCTCAGCACCTAGACCAGCATCTCCCAGCTCCCACTGCTGAGGCTGAACAAGGCCCTTCCAGTAAATCTGCAGAAACACTTCTTGGTTTCAGAATTTAATGATGTGAACATCTAGTATTGGTTTGGACAATCCAAAACCACAAGATGTATTTAAAAAAAACAAAAGCAGAATTATGGCAGCCCTAGAAAAGGCTTAAACACACATTTTAGGGAAAAGAAACAGAAGGAGCCACATCCTAATGCATATTAGCTCAAGGAAATATGCTGAATACATATCTGGAATAAATATTCACTAATGCACTGTTCCCAGAGGGATGGAATACATAAAAATAAATTATTGGGGTTTTTAGCTCCAGCTCTAAAGATTCTGTAAAGTCTTGCCCATGCATTTAAAGCCTGTGTTCTGATGAAATGACCTTCTGTCAAGAGATCATGTTCCAGTGATCAGGACTAGCTTTCAAACAGCAAAGAGGGCCCGGATCAAATATGCTGCAAAAAGCTGTGCTACATCTATTTCTGTTTATAAAGGTGGGGGAAAGCAGATGTGAATACTGTTTTTCATTGTCCAAAGCCTGATGTTAAACAGACAGTGGTGCTCACTGAATGCTGCTAAGGACTTAAGAGAAACTTGCAGGTTTCAGTGCTTGTTTTGAAGTATGAGACTAGACAACACAAGATGATATAAACACACTTAACAAGGGGCGTTTATACTATTGTGATAGCAGGCAAGAAGACAGGGGCAACATAAAATTCCTGCTAGAAATAAATACTTCCAAGCTATAAAACACACAATACAAATAGCAACTTAAATGGATGCTGGGGAAGCTTAGGAAAAAAAAGAAGTGTATTGAGTCAGTAAGCTGCCGATACAAACAAGAGGTTGCAGTGAGGCAGAAAGTATCATATACATTCATAAAAATTAAATAAAAGAATTCCTGAACTTGAGAGCACTCAGGTTTGGGTTAAACAATATATTTTCACATCACCTGCAGTTTTATTACACTGATATATGCTTTGAGATTGTGTGAAGCATCAACAAAGGGTAGGTGTGAAACTGTCCTTGAAATTGTACTCAACTCTCCCTCCACACTTCAACTACGCATATATACATGTAAACCCATGCTGATGAATATGTGTCTCCAAGCTCTCCAACTGCAAGGTATGATCAGGCTACCAGCCCCCAGACCTATATTGGTTCTTCATGCTTAGTGTACATGACACAAGTCCAAGTTGCTGCCTGCAATGTGACCAGAAGGCAAAAAATTGGTGACCATTAAGTGACCAATATACCAATGTCTTCAGTATCTCACTCCAAAATACTGAACCAAAAAAATCACCCAGCTTGTAGGAGCCAATAAGTTAATTTTTTAGATCCTACAGTTGTAATGGCTTTATCTCTGCAGTCATTAAAATATTTCTTTCACTTCAGTGATGAAGTATGCTAAAACAGAGCAAATAGTCTCTTTTAACTAGTAGTGAGATAAGTTTACATGTATGCCAATGATGACTACAACTCTTTCTT